ATAACCACTATGCCACCACGGTTCCATCCACGGTGCTAAGAAGTCAACCATTGCAAACCCTACGGAGCACAGTTTACTCTGAAACATGAGGTCACCATGAGACAGCTACCCAAGCACTTTTTATTGGACTCTAGCAGTTTAACTCATTTTGCATCTCCTTCCTGAGAACCTACTAAGTAGGTTCAACTCCAATGTCTCACTGAGCGTGAGCTCAGTGCTGAAGATACAAGAATATATACATTGATTAAACACCAAACAAACAAAACCGCACTGCCATTAAGTCAGTACTGACTCATAGTGATTCTATAGGGCAGGGTAGAATTTGTTTCCGAGACTGTAACTGTTTACGGAAGGAAAAAGCCGTCTTTCCCCTCAGAGCCACTGGTGGTTTTGAACTGCAAACTTTCAAATCACAGCCCAACACGTAACCACTACACCACGAGGGCTCCTAGACACAGCCCCTTACAGGGACTATGTTTTTGTGTGATAACTTCTTCTACAAAACTGTAAGTTTCACAGTAAGGGAAATCATCTTATTTTTCTTGAAATGCCTGATGCTAGCAAAGACCGGGTAGATATTAGTTATCTATGTTTTAATATGTTATAGCTGTTGGGCAATAAAGATAACAATTATGATGCTTGTTTATGTTTTATCCATCCAAAGAAACCATTTTAATTCTCTTGGAATCCAGATTTCCAGGTCTGTGAAATTCAGATGACCCACCCAGGCCATTTGTCCTTTTCAACCTTAAGCCTTGAAGGACCTGGTTTCCTGAAATCATCTTCAAGTCAAACAACAGCCTACTGAGAAGCTCCAGTGAAGATCATTTGGCTTTCGTATGAGTTGTGAGCAACACTGCAATCATTTTTATTTGAATCAGCTATGTTTAAGGATAATCCATTTTGGCATACATTTATCATTGTATGTTGCACTGTTTCCAGTGGTTCAAACAAGAGTTTGAATGTTAATTCCAAATCCTACTTAAAGTTGGCTGGCCTACGGCAGCTTTCTTTTTTTTTAATATTTATTTTATTATTAATTGGGACTTGATGCGTATATCATATTATTCCATGGTTCAGTCACGGCAAGCGGTATTGTACAATTGCTACCACAATCCTTTTCCAAACATTATTTTTCATCCTGGACTCTTCTCTCTTTTACACCCCACCCCCCATCCCACCCCAACTCCAGCTGTCATTGCATGAGATTACTAAGGAGAGGTCAGCTGGAAAGTAGATGTCAAGATAACATTGATATTGCTATTAGGCTTCCACTCATCACATTTGATCAACTCCAGTGTCTTGCTGATCAATCTGCTCCTTTCTCTTCCCCTCTCATTAATTCCCTAATTGCCTAGAGAGGAAAAGAGAAGCGAGGGGAAGGGAGCTCACATTCTGGGTGACTACAGATCACAAATCTGTCTTGGAAGTATTATCAGAATGCTCCTTAGAAGCAAGGGTGACAAGACTTCATCTCACGTACTTTGGGTATGGGATCAAGAGAGACCCGGAAAGAGACCTCGTGCCTGGTGTGATAGGCCAGGTTGCCTAGAGAAACAAATCCAGTGATACTCAGCAATGTGTAAGAAATAACTTTATATCAAGAAATAATTGGCTGATACCAAGGGCTCAAGTAGAAGGAAAATATTTTGGAAATGATGATGGCAGCATATATACAAATGTGCTTGATACAATTGATGTATGGATTGTTATAAGAGCTGTAAGAGCCCCTGATAAAATGATTTATTTAAAAAAGAAAGTGAATCATATGTCAAAAAAAAGAGAGAATTATATATCCAGAAGACACCCCAGCCTTGTCCAACACAAGTCCTTAAGTCCAATGCTAGTTCGTAAGTTCTTCAGAATCACATAGCAACAGGCTGGTGATGCGGAAAGATGAACCAGGAAGCAGGGAGATCACAGGCCAGGGCGTACAGAGTCTCGTGGATCCAATGTCATTGGAGACATGGCAGGGCACCAACAGCTCTCAGGGTCAGTGACCCACATGGGGCAGAAAGGAGAAGCCACTGAAGAGACAAACAAAAGGCTCCACCCCTAAGGAGGTGTTATCGTGTTACAACTTGATTGACAGGTTTAACTCCACCCCTAGCTGGGACTGTCTCCAAACTCGCTGCCATCAAGTTGAAGCCAACTCACTTCATAGGACAAAGTA